CGGAGTCTCGGTGCCCCCGGTCCCTCCCATCCGCTCCCTCCTTCCTCCGACAGATCTTCCTCTCCCTGGTCCTCATCTCCGTGGCCTTGGCCCTGGCCTTCCGACTGTCGGTCCCGGAGTTCAAGGACAAGCACCACTACATCTCGGCCACGGTCGGGCACAGTGTGGCCCTGGAATCATTCTTCCTCTTCTGGGGCTTCCTCATCCTGCTCAGTGTCATGGTGCCCATGGCCATGTTCATGACGTGAGTGTGGGGGCTTTCCCAGGCTGCGCCCTTCCTCAGACGGGGAAAGGGGGTTCGTGGCGGCGGCGGGCTGGACGGCCGCGAGACCCCGCGCCTCCACAGGGCCGAGTTCATCTACCTGGGGAACAGTGTCTTCATCAACTGGGACATGCAGATGTACTACGAGCCCCGGGACCTGCCCGCCAAGGCCCGCAGCACCAGCCTCAGCGACCAGCTGGGCCAGGTGAACTACATCTTCTCCGACAAGACGGGCACGCTCACGCAGAACGTCATGACCTTCAAGAAGTGCTGCATCTGCGGCCTCGTCTACGGTGGGCCCCGCCTGAGCCGCTCCGCTCTCTAGGGGGGCCCCGGGGGGGCTGCAAGCGCCCCGACCCCTGAGCGTGGGGTGGGGACTGCTCTCTTGAGGGGGGTTGGGCGTCCAAGGGCCAAGCTGGCCCCAGGCCCGACGCGGCGGCCACATCACGGGGTCTCGCCCAGAGCGGGCAGCACGCGTCTTCTGCCGAGGGCCAGGGAGGCCTTTTGGCTTCTTGGGCCACACGGTCTCTGTGGTGCTCGGCTCAGAGCAAGCAGCCACGGGTGACCCGCCCCGAGCGGGCATGGCTGGGGCTGCCGGCCAACGACATTCTGGAATTTCCAGGTCATGAAACAGTATTTGCTGTCTTTTGTTTCCTAGAGACAGAGTCTCGCTCTGACACCCGGGCTGGAGTTTAGTAGTGGGACCACAGCTGAGGCTAGTCTCCACCTCCTGGGCTCGGGTGATCCTCCTGCCTCAGCCTCCTGAATAGCTTGGACCATAGGCACCACCACACCTGGCTCATTTTTTTAAGCTTTTTGTAGTGATGGTGTCTTGCTGTATGGCCCAGGCTGGTCTTGGACGCCTGGCCTTAAGTGATCCTCCTGCCTTGGCCTCCCAAAGTGCTGGGATGACAGGCACGGGTCCCCACCCTCAGCCAGTATTCCTCTTTGGTCTTTCACAAACCTCTACTTGTGCATGCTAAACTTAGAATTTCATAGCAATTCACTGGCTTTGAAATCGTCTTGTCATTTCCGCCCCTCCCTCCTCAACAATCTAAACTGTAAAAACAAGCTGGGCTCGGTGGCTCAACCTGTCATCCCAGCACATTGAGAGGCTGAGGTGAGTGGGTTCAAGACTAGCCCGGGCAACTTGGCGAGACCTCACCTCCACAATAAATCAAAAATTAGCCGGGCGTGATAGTGCACACCTGTAGTTCTGACTACTTGGAAGGCTGAGGCGGAAGGATCGCCGGAGCCCAGCAGGTCAACACCGGGGTGGCTGTGAGCATGCCACGGCACTCCAGCCTGGGCAACAGAGTGGGACTCCAACTCAAAAACAAAAAAAATAATTCTCAGCTCACGGGCCGTACAAAAACTGATGATGGCATGGGATACAGTTTGTCAGCCCCTGGTCTAATTCATAGCTAGGGCATGTGGTTTAGACAAGGATCTGAGGAGCCATACTGGGTTATAATTTTGTGCTGTGGATGGGCTCCAGTCCATGTTCCATTCTGAGCAATGGGTCCATGCACCTCACAAATACCACCTGACCTTCAGTCCAGATCTGGGTGGCAACAGGGAGTGGCAAGGTCTGCGGCTAACGAGATGTGCATACACATCAAGGGTGGTCTACATGGGGCATCCACACAGGGTCTGGTCCTCTGATACCCAGGAGATCTATGGACCCTGGTGTGATGTTGATCACACGGTTTTTCTTTTTCTTTTTTGAAGTGGAGTCTCACTCCGTCGCCCAGGCTGGAGTGCAGTGGCACGCTCATGGCCACCCCAGCGTCGACCTGCTGGGCTCCAGCCATCCTTCCACCTCAGCCTTCCAAGTGGCCGGAACTACAGGCACACTGCCATGCCTGGCTAATTTTTGCTTTATTGTAGAGACGAGGTCTCACCAAGTTGCCGGGCTGGTCTCGAACCCGTGGGCTCAGGCAATCCTCTCTCCTGGCCTCCCAAAGTGCTGGGATGACAGGCTGAACCACTGAGCCTGGGTGGTCCCCGTTTTATTTATTTATTTATGTATTTTTATTTTAATTTTTTTTTTGAGTTGGAGTCTCACTCTGTCACCCAGACTGGAGTGCAGTGGCCACTCCCGGCCACCGCAGCCTCGACCTGCTGGCTCCGGCGATCCTGCCGCCTCAGCCTTCCAAGTAGCCGGAACTACAGGCATGCGCTACCACGCCCAGCTGATTTTTTGATTTATTGTAGAGATGAGGTCTCGCCAAGTTGCCCAGGCGGGTCTCGAACCCGTGGGCTCAGGCAATCCACTCACCTCAGCCTCCCAAAGGCGCGGGATTACAGGCTGAGCCACCGAGCCCGGCTGGTCCCAGTTTTAAAAAGACACGGTGGGCACTCACACCCAGCGACATGTCTTCCCCGGCCACGCCCGCTCCAGGCGGCCCTCTGGGACTCCCGGGGGATTGTGGCCCCGGCTGTGCCTAAGGATTCACCCCAAGGCTGCTTGGGGGGCTCAGGCCCAGATCCCCAGGCCCGCCCGGCCTGGGCAGATCTGCGCCCCCGAGCCCCAGGTGGGGGGTGGGGCTGCAGACCCCGAAGGTCCTGGGCAGCCCGCCAGGCCTGACACGCGCTGTCTCCCAGGTCCGGACGCCGAGGAGGAGGCCCGGACGCGCCCAGAGGTGAGCTCCGCCCGGCGCGCCCCGAGAGTGGGCGAGGCAGGGCCCACCGCAGCCTGTCCCCGCCCACAGGACGACCCCTACCTCTGGAACAAGTACGCGGACCGCAGGCTGCGTTTCCACAACCGGGAGCTCCTGAGCCTGGTGCGGCGGGACCAGAACCGCATGGCGCGGGAGTTCTGGCGCGTGCTGGCCCTCTGCCACACGGTCATCGTGCAGGAGAGCGAGGGTGAGGGCCGCCCCCCGTCCCTCCGCGCCCCAGCCCCATCCTGGGGCGCCCAGGGCTGCCCGGGCACTGGCAGCGGGAGTGTCACCGCCAGGGCGGAGGGTGTCCAGGCCTGGGCGGAGCCCCAGCTGTCGAGGCTGGGGCCCAGGCGCACCTCCCTTTCCGGGCTTGGGGGTTGCACAGGCTCAAGAGACCCTCGTCCTGTAGCTATCCGTGGGCACCGTGGCTGGGCAGGGTGGCTCAAGCCTGGAGTCCCAGCGCTTGGGGAGGCTGAGGTGGGGGAGTCCCTTGAAGCTGGGAGTTCCAGGCCAGCCTGAGCAATGTCGAAGATGCCCATCTCTGCAAAATAATAATAATAATAGCCGGGCTCGGTGGCTCAGCCTGTCATCCCGTGCCTTGGGAGGCTGAGGTGAGTGGATGGCCTGAGCCCGCGGGTTCGAGACCCGCCTGGGCAGCGAAACCTCATCTCTACAATAAATCAAAAAATCAGCCGGGCGTGGCAGCGCATGCCTGTAATTCCGGCTCCTCGGAAGGCTGAGGCGGAAGGATGGCCGGAGCCCAGCGGGTCGAGGCTGCGGGAGCCGGGAGCGGCTACTGCACTCCAGTCTGGGCGACAGAGTGAGACTCCAACTCAAAAAATAATAATAATAATAGCAGTCATGAAAGAAGCCGGGTGTGGCGGCCACGCTGGAGTCCCAGCTCCGCCCGAGGCCGAGGCGGGAGCGAGGCCCCAACCCACACGTCCGGGGCACCTGCCACACCGCCCGCCCTGCTCCG